ACTTTCTTGTTTAAATTATAATTGCAATGTCCTCCAGTATGTTACGATAGCGCATTAATGGTCACCAAGAGCTCTATAACAGACGCTGCTCTCACCATGAATGTCTCTTTGACCTCATTAACCTAATTATTTTGGTTCCTTTAAGAGTTAGACGCACTTTAGGCTAGCTGATCATCCTAACTATAGGTACTGCATAATTTATATGATAAGATAAGCTGAGAACTTCGAGATGAAAAATGGTTTCGCCGATTCGGCTATCAAATCTAGTTTTCTAACCGATATATCAATGAAGGATTCATAATCCAGGATTTGTTAAAGATAACAGCTATCATTATTTTTGAAATGATTTCAAATAAAAGCCTTAGTATGGTCCTTTGAGACGAAATCTTTCATAGAAACGTGATTCCAAAGTTTAAAACAAATTGTGTAAAACATTAATGCAAGTAATATGCACACTAATCATGAAATAAGTATAAACCCACTCACTCATATTTACACTGTCGTCGCGTTGTAGGCGAATCGAATAACAAATAAAGTGCGAACGCAACAATCACCTAAATACCAATTACAAAATATTTTGATTACTTTACTAAAGTCAATGACGAATAACAGTATCACACACATATCAGCATAAATAATTTCGGTCTTTAAAAACTTTATAACTGTTTTACCAGGTGATCATAATTAAACAGGAGCTAATTTAAAATCACCTATCATGTTATTTGCAGCATTAAGTATTTGTTTCTTCATCGCGGAAAATTCTGTTCTTTCCTAAGATTTTATCTGTCAATAGGACTGCTGTTTTTATAAAATCATGTTTTCAAACCTGTATTTTGCATTTCAAACAATGAACACAGAACCGCTGATTTCCTATACTATTCGACTTGTTTAGCATACACGTTCTCTAGCAAGATTATTGGTAACCCGACACGTTACTACTGTTAGATGCACTTACAATACGGTAGAGTGACGTGAACGCCGGTTCACTGTGCGTTTACCTCAGTTATCAATTAAATTATGCGTCATTCATATACCTATAAAGTATACTACGATGTCCGGTTATTTTTGAATTCATGTACAAAGTTTAGGCAGCAAGTCTTGCATGGATATCAGGTGGACATGCAAACAATGCGGCTAGCTATACGGAATGCAGGCGAACGCGGGAGCGCGCGTTGAATAATGTACGCGCCGTCTCAACGGACAGCGCCTCGGTCTTATGACGCCTTGGTACCGGCGAGGTCTTAAAGGAGTTTAAATATTTAAGAAAGGCCATCTTTTAATTGGTTTTGCGGGATCCTCGGGTTCATAAAATAGGATCCGTGAAATTTATAAGGGTAAGTTTAGCCGCGCTGCTGGAAAATAAAGTAGAATTCACAATTCCTTTTTTTTTATCAATGAAGTTCTGGACAAAACAAGTTGAAGTCAAGACCAAATACTAATGAATAACAACCAGAATACTTTGATATATTACTATTACTCACTAACCAAAGACCTCGATGATCGTAATACAGCAATTTCAGTGATTTGAAATGTTTAAAACGCAGTTTGCTTAATTGGATAAAACAATACAATTGTGTGCATAGCTTGTCAATTTCTAACTCGACATTACAATAACCAGTTTCTCTAAATTGTCTAAAACTGCATAGATTTCGTAGCAACAACGCTACTGGTATCATTCGTAAGACATCTTGACAGCAAATAGTCTAATCCTGGCCGGATCTTGGCTGATGGAGTAACAGCTCCCGAGGGCTTGCCAAGTTCCATTGATTTTCTCCCATTTCAGAAAATGATCCTAAAGGCTTTTAGTTCCGCAAAGTGATTGTAGTTGTGAGAAGTTGACAAGTGGGTATACTGAATCAGAAATAGATTTTAAATGTAAACTTATTTGAAGAGATGAAGGCCATAGGAACAGACTATGCTTAGTGCAACTTTCACATGGATCTTGACGGCTCTGAACGGATTTTCTTGCACTTTTATCAGAATTAACAGAGATATAGCGAGATTTTTCCCTCAAATTCAGCTATTCCGCTGGAAGGGTTCTTTCATCGCAATAAATCAATAACATTTATATTTCTACGTGTGAGTAAGGTTACCAGAGCTCGTTAGGGTGACTATACTGATGGCATGGCACCATGGGATGACGGGCATTGTCTACCCTTCCGCGCGCCATGCCACCACAGAGCCTACGCCGATGGGTGACAGGCTTACACCATATCTAGTTGCGTTTGCTACGCCATAACCACACTTAAAAACGGTTTTTAAAGGATCCGCAATGCGATATATGTAGTTGCAGATCTTCATTGGCTTTAAACATACATATGTATATATGTAGCCGATAAAAAAAGCCAATGAATTTGATTATTTTTAACCGACTTCAAAAAAAGAAGGAAGTTCTCAGTTTGGCCATCTGTATGTATGTTTGTACGCGATTATCTCGCGATTAGCTGAGCCGATTTTGATGCGGTTTTTAGAAAAGTGTTTGTTACACTTAGGAGAAGGTTTTAGTCTATGATAAACCGACCTTAAAAGAAAAAGGCAGTTGAAGTCGGTTTTTTTAAACGTAGTTTATTTATGAGATATTTATACGATAGTCAAACATGTTAGATCACGTGACTACAATTTACACATCTTTTTTAAAGCAAATCCCTAAACAATTTGGATTATTATGATGTAAGCAATCCATTTATGTCAACCCGAACGGTTTATTTTTTGATAAATCATAGCAGTATCTAACATTTCTTTACACCAACTTTCAATAAAAAAAAAGAAAATCAAAAAAGTATAATGCTACTTCGATTGAAACTAAAGGCTATCTAAAACTAAACTAAATCCTAATTTGTGTATCGGATATGGCAGTACCTATGCACCGTCAGTTTTCGAAGTCAAGGCTAACTAAACGAGGCACGATACTAGAGGTAGTGCCTTAATGATTGGTTGTCAATTTCAACTTGTGTACTAACTTGAACTAGTCGAACCTTGACACTTTTATATTTTATTTTTAAGGTTTAATAGAGGGATCTTTACATAACATAACATCACGCCTTTTATCCTAGAAAGGGTAGGCAGAGGCGCACATTATGCCAATACAATGTAACACCCACTTTTCACTATTTATGTTATGAGTTCCATGTAATAGGGAGTGAGCCTATTGCCATATACCGGGCACAGTTCCAGACGTGCTACTACTGAGAATTATTTAAAAACCGAGTAATACTTTGCCCGATCCGGGAATCGAACCCGAGACCCCTTGCTCGGCAGTCGCACTTGCGACCACTCGGCCAACGAGGCAGTCGTGGATCTTTATTGTGGAGTAAAATGCTAACTATCTGAACTAATATTATGAAGAACCTCATAGATTTGATTGTTTATTATTTGTCTTGAATTGAATCCGAAAGTATAGGTCGGGTTACACAATTAATTTCAAAATTGGAAAGCTTAATTTTTAGGAAACAACATATATATATATATGACCTATACTGGCATAGATTTTTAGTCGCTGCAAATTCTTTTTAAAATGCAATTCATATTCTTTAAAATCTCAGTATTCTTATACATAAGATATTTAACCTGTCATTATAACTGACATAATTGAGTACTTTCCTTAATCAATAATAAATTATTTCGACAGTTCAACACAAGGAAATATTAAAAAATAATCACACTTTCATTAATTGATTTTATGACCAAATTCATTTTCGTATTTCTCCAGCAATTTTTTAAGAAATAATTATGGTGTTAGACGCTAAAACATATGACGTCACAATACACAGTCTCTTACAAAATTCATAGAAAACTATCGTTTTTGACAGTTCGAAAAAAAGTATTGAATTTGACTAGTTGGCAAATACCCTATTATCTGTCAGTGTTAGCCTACTCCTTTGAAGACAAAGTGGTTAGCAAACATCATCAAAGATATGATGAGATGTTACAATGCTTATAACTTCAATGTAATTGAACGTATCCAAAACTAAAAGATACGACGTCGATACCTAACTGGCATCTTTACAAGTACTTACATGTACTAAGTCGATCTAGCTATAGATAGTGAGTGTAGTGGCTATGTTTAGTAGTGGGGTGGGCAGATACGGGCAGCATGCAAGGTCGCCCGGCGCCTCGGTGATCGAGCCAATATCTTAGTGTGGATCTATCTAACGCTTTTCTTCAATAGTAATCGATGATATTTTTCATTAAGAATGTACCACAATGTAATTTGTGTTAGATACTCCATTGACGATTCAGAGTCAGTTTTAAAATATACAACCTTATTCAGCTACAGAAAGTATAATTTGTATTTCTTTTCCTAGGAAATTACCTAGAGCTTGGAAACAAAAGCTCATAATACAATAGAATGAAATATTTTCTTTAACACAATAAACTAATCATCGCTTTCCAAGAAACCCTTAGTTTTTCAATGTAACGTTGCATATTGTTTATCTCCTCTCTATTTCATTACACGGAAAAACAACAAATAATGCGAACGAACTGTTTTTTAATAAAGTTCTGTCTATTTCTGAGAAAAACAGATGCAACAGCGCACCATATTTTTCCGTTAAATGCGACAGGTCCATTCTAATGCCATCAACGCCTGCCGCGTGTCACTTGAAACTCCGCCATTTTGCAAGGCGAACCGCCCGCGGCGGGAAAACTGACTTTGGCGCCAATTTCGATGCGGCCACGTCTGCTATCCGACCACATCCGGATGATCAGCCACTTAACAGAAACCCTTACAAGCCGCGAACACCGCAAATCGGTCGGTTAACATCGCCACGGGTGTCATTATAAATTCCTTTAATTATACCATTTTTACTGCGCTTTATAGTAGCCTGCAAACTCATGGCGGGAACTTGCCGTTTTATAAGTGCCATCGCGCTGTTCTCAGCCTTGGCATGTTTATCTTGACCGTTTCAAATAGACCTCGTGCCCTTTGCATACATTAGGAAAAGAAGGGTCTTCTTAAACTGAATGTTGTATGGGATCCTATAAAATAATTAAAAAGTTACCTTTGGCAGGACATGTTGAAGCAGTGCACCAGCTTTCCTTTTGGCGGCCATCTTGTTTTTTTGGCGGGTCACGCACAGCACTTTTGTCTTTGGTTTCGTTAAAATGATTCTTCTGTTAATCAGTTCATGGACCCCATCTCAAGCTGACTAGAAAGAAAAGTTCCAGATGCTACGATTGCGTTCCATTTTTCGTCACTTCATTTGTGATTAAAGTTGCAATTAGACGCAAGACACGTAAACAAATAAAGGACCTATATGTTAAGTCTTAAATGTATTTTCTATAAGAGAAGGTCATCTGTCTACTTACTGTTTGAAAATATCAAAGGACTAATATTTCAAAGTTGCAATTACCGTCGGCTGACACGGTCGAAGGAGGACAATTGTTCACATTGCAATCGATATAATTGCTACAGGTAACAAATACTACTGTTTCAAATGAATTATTATCGTTGATGAGGTTTTCGTTGTGAGAAAATGCACTAAAAATTTATAAGTTCAAGGTAGATAATCGCCAAATATAAATTAAATTAATACAATACTCAAATTATATCCAAGGGTTTTAACAACAGCTCAAGTTTATTTACAGAAATAACCTGTCTTATATAATATTCAGAAGTTATCCCAACAAGAAGTTATTTATAGACAAATTGCGGGAGGTTGACCAGACACTTCTACAAATACCAAACTAAAATTCGAAGAAAGGGTTGTGAATTGTGATTGATGTTAATTTTGAACTAGATATTAAATGAACAGGGGAAATTACAATAGTCTAATCAGAGCTTGATGTAAACCTGTTTGCAAAATGAAAGGGGCTGAAGCGCGCGTAAGTTGCGTTAGGTCAGTACTGCATTTGAAGCGATCATTTTGGAACTCCTTTAGCAAAGGGCTCTCCGCCCTTCATGTTTGCCTAGTACTCTAACAATGAACTTTCATTGTACGTCAGTATTTTGTTTGAGTAAAAATAGGGTGGGCAATATCTTTTGAACTGACCATTCGAAATGAAAACCTGTTTTAATAACATCCCTTCAAGTTTTTAGTTATTGATAAGGAAATAATAGCTTGTTATAGGGTACCACAAAATTGTGTGTACTTAAACAAATTGTATGTGTGTAAATAGGAACTGATGTTATTTCGAATACATACGAATCAGATTTCAAGCTATTTGAAAATGACTAGGAGAAAGAAGAAAGATTGTAGCGGCTGAGTGCTACCTACTATCTTATGCACTACTGGTACATATCATACGCAAATTGGATAGCCTAACACACACCTGGCTTTTCTATTCAAATCTACGACAAGGTAACAGCTCTAAGAGGCACAAGACTAGCTGTGTTGTTTTTAGCGTCTTAGTAACGCTACGTCTACGTCTACGTAAGCAACAATCGCGCTTTGTGTGGAAATATTCCCAAAACTCTAATGAAGATGATATCGAGTAATTATAAAGATTAATGGCAATATCACAAATTACGAATCCGACTAACAACAACCAGCGAATCGAATTTAAATTCTAAGAACAGTAAATTGGCCTAATTACAGTAGTAGAAGGACCAATGGCTAGACAGGTTGATATTGCCTGAGTTACATTTCAATATAACCTCTATTACAATAATCAATATCTAGAAATTCATGACGACTACTTTCCTACTGACTTTTATTCATTAATGGAATTCTTATGGCGATACTTTTAAGTCTGACATAGTATAGTATAAAAGGGTTTTCAGAATAATCAAATGTCATTATATTACCTTGTTTATTAAAGTTCAACGGTATCATCAACATTGTCATATTTCACGAATTCCTATGCCTCGAAGGACCACTTATAATTTGGTCTTTTGGTCCTAAGTTACAAAGTACTTTTTTGTATACTGAAAATTGTGACATCATACACAATAAACATAACATAAAAATCTGTACAAAGTCAAAGCATTTATTTTAATTAATACTTATCTAATTAGACACTTTTGGAACGTCAAAAATTAAATTGTACGTCCGTCTGTCTATCAGTGAAGCTAGGCGCTCGTTCTTAATTGTAATTTCGAATGGAGTAATTCATAACGTTGTGTCTAATGCATTTTGACTGTGTTTTAATTAATTCTCATAATCAGCTCCATAATATATTTACAACTGTACGATAATAAGGAAATTGTCATATATAATATACAACTTATTTCAAGGAAAAATAAATATGTTACTTTTATTTTCACAATGTGAAAATAATCTCCTTATTTTGTTCGGTTTCTTCAACTAAGATGAAATTAATAAATGTTTAAATCAATGTCATGATCGTCAACTTGATTGCACGCCACTAAATATAATATAACATCATGCCATATGTCCCCGAAGGATAGGCTGAGGTGCACATTATGGCACTTAATGCCACTGTACATCATTATCAACAACTTTATTCGAAATACATCAACTGCTCCATTTTCAGAGGCTTTGCTTTTAACGCATGCTTCTTTTTTATTATTTTTTTTAATTTAGAGATGGAAAATCAATGATGAAATGAAGTTACTTCCTTTAATACTTGTTTTAACCGCTTGAATACGGATATACAAGACACATCACACAATTGATGAAAATACATAGTGCCTCCAGTTTAGGCACACGACATTTTAACATTTACTAACTTTTTAGTTGAAAATACTTCAGTATCAACATGTTTTACTTGTAAATAAATAGAATTCGTATTATCTTCAATTCCAAACCTAACAAATTGTCCTCAAAATTTTACAGTTAAGCTGTAGATCGACCAGTTGTTTACTTTCTCACACACTATTGAGTTGTAACTGAGAGTTTTCAAGCACCTTACGACTGTGTATACCAGCTTAGGACTTTTCTTCATTCAACGTTTATAATACTTAGTATTGTTCTGTACATACACTTGTGTGTATCATTGCTAAGTCTGTTGTAGCCTGGCGGAGAACCTAACGGGTTACCGGGGCCCCGGCTCGACGTGCAGGAGAAGGAACGGGGTGGTTTTTAGTCAGTAAGAGTGTGACTCTCCCTCCTGCCTCATCCAGGGGGGACAGTCATTCGATGATTTTCCTCCCTTAAAAAAGTCTAATGTAGCCAAACTCTTATGGTAGCCTGGTGTTTGATCGTAATAATGTAATATTGTAAGCCCGAAAATCAGTCTGTTCGTTTGTAAAGTTTTGCTGTTTATTATGAATGTGGTACTTACACGAATATTCTAGAAAATGATTTTGAAAATATTTATTTTTTATCTAAAATTGTCTAAAATTGTTTAAGCAATTAATACTGATCTTCTTGCTTAAGAACGACTTGAACTAGATAATTTCAACAGATAATATTCATATTTTTCTGCTAGTAGAAGAGCTTACGCTTGCAAACAAATTCTTCTGCGAAACATCATAAATGTGTAATATCAAACAAAACTACAATATTCAAAGGGATTTTTAATCCCAGTATGTAGCTTGCAATAAGAAAAACTGAAAAGTAACTGAATGTTGTATTTACTTAAAGAAATATGAGACTTTTGTTTGCTTACACATTAATTGTTTACAAACCTCGTTTTCCTACCTTTGAGTTAGATATAACTTTTATATTTTATTCCATCTTTTAAGTTAAAAATGTATGTGTAAAGAAATACAGAACAAATGTTGATTGTAAGTGCTTTACCAGGATTACATGAGGTTAAAAGAGCTGGGAAAACAAATTTCCGGGTATAAACTGTATGACGTCAAGATAAAGAAGATTCGAATACTTATTTATAGTAAGAAATAATATTTAAACATCACAAAATATCTCAAACAATTTTTTAAGAGATTTATGTGATTTCTCTCTGTTAATCTGTTCATTGGTTTTAAAGTGAACAATTAATAACAACGGTCATTAATTTATTGTTTTGCGATTGTAACTTTAAGTAGGATGACGGCAACGACGTAGAGTAATAATTAGTCATTGTAGTAACTTAATGAATTCGATACCAATCTTGTTTGAAACAATCTTCACTATAACAAAACATAATAACAAAGTCGTTGACACGCAAAAGTATCTCAATTAAAGTAATTAACAAAACAAAAAACAATAAGTAACAAAAAATTACAAACAAAAAAGTACTAGGAATACAGAGCTACTGGGGAGCTTTGAGCAGATTAAATCGCAAAGGGGTCTCATTCTCATGCTGCTCGCGATAACAACATAGGCCATTTTCCATCTGCAGACACCGGCTCTACGTGCTTTATGCAGTGATCCATATCTCAGAATGAAATTCTTCAACCTGACGTTTAATCCGCATCAAGTAATATTTCAATCGATTTACTTTACAGATTAATCGTGACAAACATTTTGTTCACCTTTACCATAATCGATTTTGTAAACCCAAACGCAATAAAAATAAAATAAAAAATAAAATAAAAAAATATCTTTGTATGTTGCCGTTAAAGGATTGATTTTCTGTTATTAATTTTAATATCCTTATAAAGCATTGTCATCATGGAGCACACGCCCACGCCGCCATGCACAATAATTAAAAACATGATTAAATGCTAATATAGACAATTTAGATTTATTTAGCTTGATCAGAAATCCTTGTCCAAACCATCTATTGTTTCTTTTACAAATTGGTGTAATTTTATCGAATAAAAAACTGGCAAAAAAAGCAAATACAAAGTATCAACACCAGGCTCTCATAAAGCGTAGGAGTTAACGCACAAAAATGGAAAAATGCGACAGTACAAAAATTCACACCATTCCGCAATATCCGTACACTGTGTGACACACAGCGGTAGGTGGAAAGCGCACACCATACGCGTTTAATGCGCGGTCAGTGTACTGCTAGCTATTTTCTTTTTAGCGATAACGACAAGGCCACTTTAATAGCTTTGGGTACGGTAGTCCGTGACGTTTTTTTATTAACTGCCTAGTTTGCGAATTAGGTACCACATTCACAATGGCATGTAACTTAGATTGCAAGGAGAAATCATTATGTTATAATAGATTCCGGGAAGGTGTAAATAGTAGGTCTTTTCGTTTATCATGTCATTATGCTATAAAAGTTTTCAATGATAATTAATTATCGTTATGTATGGGCATTAGTTAGGTATAACAACAAATCAGCAATTCGTAGCAAAGGACCGGTTTAAAACTTATTTTATATAAGACTTATCAGCGATTGCGATATAAATGCTATTTGAGAAATACCCAAGTCCATCACTGGAAACCGATAGACCAAAAAGGATATTGCAAAAATTTGTCAACAGACTTTTTAATGCAAACCGTAAACTTTACCAAGAGGATCTTTTGCGTAAGACATCAAAATATTCATACCAGATATCTCCTGACTACACATTTTATTAAAACCCATACCAACATCCAACATGAGCACTAAATGGTTACTATTTTGGCGTATCATGTTCCAGACGTCAGGGCAATAAGCGTGTCATAAAATTACCGTACGCATGTGTCTTAAAAACTTGGCATAAGTACAGGTGTGAGGGTGTTTTAAATGTCAAGTCGCTACAGAGATCGTTGACTTGCACATATCTGCTCACCTTATGCCAAACGGAGGCGTTATAATTTGTAAAATTGTTGTTTTAATTGTAAATATGGCTCTATTCAGTAACTTGAAAGTGGTTTATTGGAAAAAAACTGCTTTGTCATTTTAAAGACGTCTCCAATTCAAGTAATACATAGTTACCTATATCAGTATGTACCATAAAATCAATACCACTCCACCTAACAAACTGTAACCACATTAAGAAACAGTTGTCTATATTCTACAAATACATTTCGTGTTCAAAAGGTTACGCGTTGGTGTGAGTGGCGGCCGACCGGCCCTTACACGTTATCCCAGCTAGTCGAATGTGAGGGTCTCATTACCCGAGTAACGGTCCCCACGCTCATTGTCCTACCCATCGGCTGGTTCCTTTTTTCATAAATATACTAATTACATGCCTGTGGAGGTTGCCTGTGCGGTACAAAGGGTACGTAGAAAGACCATAGTACTGTTTACGCTAGTTTATCCAACGTAGGGCTTAATAGGTATTGTGCTAAGCAATGCGGTGCGTTGCCGTGGAATGCGAATCTGTTCTGTGGTCCTTTGATACGACTGTTATGAAAATTATGATTGTTTTTCCTTTTATCCATGGGTATACAATTCTTTGGTAACGTGGACTCGGTAAGCCGGGTCCGTTACCTAGACGATATTTATATTTAGATTCTATTCATGATTTTACACGGGTTTTTAGATTTAATAGGAAAGATCACTTTTTATGATCTTCGATGAGGATAAAACTGTTGTGTAATACAAATGGTTATAAAATATACAGTTTCTGTTACTGTCAATAAAAAACAACAATGAAAGTGACTCGTCTATTGTGCCAAACATAAAAAAATGGAAGCAAAACCTGAAAAAGAGGCGTAGTTTTGTGAAAACTCTATTGTTTTCCCTAAGTGAAGTAAGAAATGTACGAAAAGGCAATAAAAAGTTGCTCAGTTACTAGAGCAACATAACACGGTGGGTAGTGTTATCAGCGAAGTAAGGACCGTGAACGATTTGATTAGTTCGACGCGCGCTTGCACTCCAAAATTACTTTCAAACTTCGCAGCGTTCTACACATAGAGAACTTCTGTACAAGTCTGCAAGCCTGGTTATGTTGGGTAAAATTATACGAGATCGGATAACTCTAGTACGTAATAGAGAATACATAATGAGAGTTCAGTTTATTGTCTAACTTCTTAAGTGCATTTGTACAGTAGCGAAAAAGTTGACATCCAAAGAAAAACTTCGATAAGTATTTAAACAAAGATGATAAAAACTAACCGCGTGGAATATAAAATCCCTGCAGTAGGAAATTACTTAGAACAATCTAAGAATCAGTACATAAGTGTCAGTTAGGCTAATAAATTCACTAAAACAATGCCTTGTCTTTTCAAATGTCGTGACAAAGGAAACTTAGCGACACGAACCACCGATGGACTAATTATATTTTTTGCAGTCACCATGTACTAATGCCAAGGCTTACTTACTCATCAAGTTCCTATGTCCATTCCTGACGGTCTATGCAAACCTGCATTCGTGCAAAAACTAGTATGTCAAGATGATAAAACTTCGCGCGCTGAACGTCTGATTGCAACTTTTTTGTCGAAAAATGGTAACGCAAAGGAAGCACAATGTATTACGAACCTATTTGTTCCACGAAAGTATTTTTGGAATAATCCGAATCTGTGATATTTGAGAGTTCGAGTTCGTGTTTCGCGAGTAAGTTGTGTGCGGGCGCGGCGCGCGTGTTCGCCCCTCGGAGTTACAACGCACACTGGTCCGTGAGTTCGCGGACGAGGTGCGTTCGCTTGGTGTCCGGCCGGCCCCCATCGCCCCCTGTCCCCCATACCGAAATGCATCAATGACACTCGAAATACACGCACATTCTGAACGCAGTGGGGACAATCGATAGGTAAAAAATGTTTTCCAGTTCGTTAGGTGCTCTAAGGCATGGCGGCTCTATGACAGGCACACCAAATCGGCAGCTCTGTATAAAACGACCATTTTTTGTTTTGTCTATCAAAGAGGTATTGAAACACAAACTGTATAGGTTAACAAAACAATAGTCACTGTTTATTTTGTCAATCGTTTCGGTCCTCAGATACGCTGAGAAGTGATCACATAAGACGTGCTGAATGTCAATGAAGTTTACAAACATCTCTTGGAACCTCGAAGTATAAAAAAATCACAAAAAATTGACGTGAATATTGAATCTTTGCTTAGAACAGGGTCGACCGTGTGTAGTGGGTAGTGCATACGATCTTGTTTGATCCTAACCTCAAGCTTCATCTTAATTAGGGAAATCAATTTAACTAATGTTGCATGACTATAAACTGATAATGATGATGTAATTATACAATCAATTCGCACACATGCACAATGACACTCGCGTATATAAGCACCACTGAATCGATTATATATGTACTGTACGCACTACCTACATGCAAATAAAGGCTGTATGTGTGTATATTACGTATATATGGGAATGAGGCACCAGGCACTCATGAAACACGAAGCGATAGGTGTATATTTTATAATATGCGGGTGTTTAAATGGCGGAAAAGGATTGCAGAATTTGCGGAGTAGTGACCCAGAGTGTTCACCTAATAGGTACGTAGTTTTGTAATTGGATCCAACAAATTCTATTGTATTATTTTCCACTTTCTTTGTTTTCTTCAACCTTAGTGTATCAAGTTAGTTTTGACGTTCAATCTGCCCACGTTTTGTAAACAATAAAGTTGGGATTAATTTCATTATGATAGAGAATTTTGAAAAATCTTTCTCTAATTACGTTTTCTTCGAATCGCTTACATAGAAATGACTAAATCATAAATGCCGACCGGTTTAGGCTTGCATTAAACATCAAACGTAATGAATAGTGTCACATTATGACCGACAAAGACAGTGTGTAGGGCAAGATGCCGCATTCAATATGTGTACGTACATGTATAGGTACGTATGTATGTAGAACAGATAGATATGTATAGTGTCGCAGATACCTCAGGGAATTTCGACAATTTGCTAAATAGCTAAACGGAGAGAGAGACAGAAGTCAAATTGAATTTGATGATTATTTTAAAGTTTCTGTCTGTAGTTTATAGTTTAAAATGGCTTTAGAAGTATTTTTCTCATTGTACCATTCATATAGCTAATCCATTTTCTTAATAGTACAGGGACGAATTTGAAACTTCTAATTCTCTATAACTATAACTATTCCAGATGACGTTAAATTACGGTACATCCCGCTTTAAGCTAGTAAAAAATTCTAGGTTCATTTGTAAATAGTATTTTTTTCGTTAACTATATGTTCCATGTTTTGATGAGAAACCTCAATAATCATAGCTTAGTGTTCGATTTGCTCGTCTTGAAGGTCAAACTCACAACTAAGAAGTGATTTATTCAGAAACCAAACCAATATTCCTAGATTTTTTTTAAGAATAGAAAGGTATGTACTTAGTATATCATACAACAAAGTCACATTCTACCTATGACGGATCCAAAGTCTAACCAACATCGCCAACAAAAAGAATCAAAGGGTCAGTTAAAATTCGTAATTCATGCAGGATCTTGAAACTCGTAAAATTTCGTCCCACGCACCCTCTTAGGTGCAGACGCCACCGGATCAACCTACTCCTTTCTGTCCAATTTCTTTGTTTAATTTTTAACTTTACCGTTCTATGATATAAAGTCGAAATTTCGACGTAAAAAATTTACAGATTGAAGTTATTTTGATCTGCTGTTTCGGTACATTCAAGGGCTCTTAAAGGGATCTGGTGTAGCGAAACGCGGTGTTCACCTTTTAGAGAGTAAACGTAACTATTTAATAGAATCATATTGTCCTGTTTGTTTGTTTGGTTCACTTTTTATGGGAAAGAGAACAGTTTGTCCATAGAAAGTGAGTTTTAAAGATTGTTCGTTCGGTTCTGGATAATTTTACTTGAGATGTTAATGGCTAAATTACAATGAATTATAAGACGCTAATTGCTTTACTTTGGGATATTTCAGTCTTTTTAGTAAACACGGAGTATTAATAAGGACCTTAAATTTGAATATCCAACAATATTTTAGAATCTGAATATCTAATAGTTGAACTAAACCACTAATACAAATTACTTATCTTTAAAAATTTAGTTATTGTCAAATTCGTCCCTGTATGTATCTCCCCAAAGCACTATCATATAAATTGTCACTTAGATGGTACTAAGGCAGCATGGCTTACCCGGTACCTACCTATATTCGGAAGATGCCAACTGCCTGTTACTCAGAACTGAGGTATCAATTCTACTATAACGGAATTTACCTACATCTGTAGAACCATACAAAATACAGGAAACAATGTAAGTTATATCTATATAAACAAAAATGAATTGTTGTTCGTTAGCATGATTAAAACTGGAGAACGGCTGGGCCGATTGAGCTGATTTTGGTTTTAAAATGTTTGTCGTAGTCCAGGGTAGGTCTAAACGGTGAGCAAATAAGGAAAAATGGCGAGTAAGATAGAGTAAGACGACAATTCCATTTTGCATATAAAAGTTGACCACATTCTTTCTGTTATCTATTTGTAATTCTGTAATTAACTAAAATCGCGGGTTACTCACGTGAATATACTGAGAAAAGCTCTACTAGTTTCGAACCAGAGAAGTCGATGAGAAACGTAGAAATTCTATGAAAACTACTCAATAAACGGTTATAGTCAATTATCAAACATTACCACCACCTTTTCAACGTGCGATACATAAACATAACAACACGCCTTTTATCCCCGAAGGGGTAGGCAGAGGTGCACATTACGGCACTTAATGCCACTGTACAATGTAACACCCACTTTTCACTATTTATGTTACGAGTCCCATGTAATAGGGGGTAGACCTATTACCATATACCGAGCACAGTTCCAATCTCCGTGATACTACTGAGAATTTTTTAAAACCCCAGTAATACTTTGCTCGACCCGGGAATCGAACCGGAGCCCCCTTGCCCGGCAGTCGCACTTGAGACCACGCGGTCAACGTGTGATATCTTTCCAAAATACAAACAATTGAAGGTAGAAGGACACCCACTCACGTTAATAAGAACCTCATATTTTTTCCGTACCCAAAGTTCACTAAAATGATACAAAACTAAGCAATATGAATATTGTTCGCAAGTGACCCAATTTGCAGTTTACCCACAACACAAAACACACATAACTAACCGATCATAATAATTAACTACTAAACAGGTACATATAAGGACTGCTAAGGTTCGCGATGTTTAATCTATAATATACCCTTTAGTGAGGTGATTAAGGTCTAATTTGGAGTGAACGTTTATTATAATGTGCCACTGTAGCGATTAGGAATAGCGGGACGAAGACATGCGAATGTATGGAGGTCTCGTGTCATTTGCTGGTGTATGTCCACGGCTTTATAACTGCCCATAGAATGTTATCATCACCATCACCTCCTTTGCAAATAGACTTTAGACCTCCTTTTACTTATGAGGCCCTGGTAGCTCTGGGTTTGCTTGTGTAACACTTATGTCTATGTATATTTCGGAACGGTATGCTTTGAATGGTCTTATGGGTCAAGAAACGCTTATCATAATCTCTTTGTGGATGGCTGACCCTTGCATTACATCTCGAGATCCCTTCTTAAAGCCTTAGAACCTTCGGCTGTCAGTACAATCATAAACACGCTCCAACATAGTGATATAACCGGTATACATGGTCAATCTTAAGCAAATTATCAGTGAACCAAAAATAGTAGTTTTCAATTACCGTAACTGAAAAATATCGACGCAAATGACATTCAAGGGATCTCCTTCTAAGGTCTGTCATGCCACCAGCCTCACTTGCTTTGCATAGTATCCTATTGGACCAAATGGAAAACTTTGTGATCAGTATTTTCTTTTGCGACTTTTTATTTAAGATTCGTAACGGAACAAGTAATCGTAAATCCGAGAGCAAATACATTTTAATGTTATTATACGCTGCAGATATTATTCTAGGAAAAGCCTTTCGGTACAAATAATAACATTATTAAAATATTTTTTCAAAGTATGAACTTCTCTGAAATGTAAAATTGTAAACATATTTTGCGAAGACCCTCCCTGGTTCAACATTATTGTTATTCTCGATTTTATATGGAAAGGTCAAGCTGTCAACCTCCAGACAAAAAAATTGAACACCGCCCTACAAACAGGGGTACTAGGGTGACATAACCGCTGTGGCAGTTAATTAGTACCGGAGGGCGCGGCGCGACAGGCGCGGGCGCGGGCGCGGCGCGTTTAGAGGAAATTGTCGTTTTTATACGGCTTCCACCCCCCTTACCCGCCACCCGGGCCCTCTGACATTCGAATAATGAAACAACATAGTTACCTTCATCTTATAAGCACATGTCGCCCTGGTAATAAAGAGAAATTAATATCTTGATGCTGCGACCCGCCGCCCCACGTTACGGTTCGCAAGCTGGACAAAACAGGGTATGGACACTAAGCGAGCGCTATCGAATTTTTATAAAGTTCACTAAAAACTATATGTAATATTAGCTAGGTATATTCATAACCATAGTTAATGTTAGAATTATTTATGAAGTAATTCACGAGAGTGATAATGTTACCGTAAATATAACTTTAAACAACCGCACATACAGGTTGATGCTTTACTGAAACAGTTCATTTTCTCAGAAACGTATGAGGTATACGGAAACCTTGAGTACCGTTTCTTTTTTACACCGAGTACTTACTGGAGCTGAAGTGGAATAAGAGCAAATTAGTTGTATCCCCTAATAATAAACAAGGCAGCAAATGTAACAAAAAGCTTCCATACAATTCCTGGGCATTTTTTCGCGGCTAATTTCCGTTTATTACAGAGAGCCTTCAATGTTTTATTGACCGTTCGAAACGCCAGACTAATAAATGAACGAAGCCATCGTCTAAACATTGTATATAAGTACCAAGCCACCATAGCCACATCAGATATAGTCTCGTTCCGTCGGCATAATGCGACCGCCGCCGCCGGCCCCGCTCGTAACACTCCAGCACAGCTAAAACCGGGCGATTCGGTTTTATACACACCCCCTATAAAAGCAAAAGGACCGGGTATGGTCCCGGGATAAGTGGGGGGCCTGTATCTTTATATCTGCCCCCCTGCGGCCCCCACTAGGGCATTATGACCGGGGGGTTCTTTGGACAGCTAAAAGAAATATCCGGTTGCCTTACCCGGCCAGTGGCGAGCAGCCGGTAATTCTTCTACCAGTATTACTTTGCTTATTTACGAAGTAGTTAATCGCACCTCCTGCGGGTCTCTGGTAGCTTGGTAGCCTCGAGATATTCTGATATCAAGTAAACAAAGAAAGTTATGTGCGGGCTATAAAAGGCGAAGTTGTTTGTTAGTGAACAATCCAATCGTGTTAAAAAATATTGGTCCTTCGGTACTAGGGTATAAGAACCTTCGTAGAGAAAATT